AGGCAAAGTATCACAAGCGCCATGCGACGTTTAAAAATTTCCGCCGCCATTTTATTTCTTTACTGAGAAATTGTTGGTTGAATCTGTTTGGAAATTTCACTAAATTTTATCGGCAGCACAAAGAAAATTCGGTGAAATTTTTGGACAGCTTCGTTGAACAATTTCTCTGTAAAAAAATAAAATGGCGGCGGAAATTTTTAAACGTCGCATGGCGCTTGTGATACTTTGCCTGGAAGGTGACGAAATCTTAAAACGTAAATCATAAATCGCAAATCATGAATCATAAATCTAAAATCTCATAAATCATAAAACTCGCCCTGTAAATGAATCATCACCGGAAAAAATGATATTGCTGATTTAACAATTCTGTATAGTAGTTAAAAGAAGTGTCCAGCGTGTTTCGATGTAGATTTTATATACAATAAAAAATGCTACTTTAACCACCTCTGTAGTTGAAGTAGATTTCCTTTTTTGTAAAATGTACATTTGAAACATATTGAAAATATTTTTTAACTTTTTAATTGTTAAATCAGCAATTCCTTTTTTCCCGTGATTTTTACCCACCTCCTCCCCGAAAAAACCGTCGGTGATCTTCAGAAATACGAAAAGATCTGATTTAAGCCCTGGTGCCCGATTAGAGGAGGCTGCAATAAATTGCAAGGAACTACATGATTATTACTACCACGAAGGTGCGTTATGAGCGTTGCCTATTCTCTAATTGGAAGGAGCTCCTCGTACTAAAATGTTTTCCGATGAAATTTAAATAAATTTAAATTTCTCTCTTCATTGCAGATTAACTATTTTCCCAATACATAAAGCTCATTCTATTGATCTTAAAAGTCGAAATTCACGAACCTAATGGTACAAAAATGCTGCAATATCATGGTAAAAAATTGCAATTTCATCGCACTGAATTGCAATTCATTTTCAATACATACTTTGATTTCACTGTGCCGGACGCGGATTTCGGTCAATTCGTCGCTCCTCTGACGTAAGAGCGTATCTCGATTTCTAGTCCTGTGGCGTGGCGTGAATTGCGATGTATCGATTGTTCTGCCATTTAAACCCATGGTAAAAAATCGATTATTAAGGTGTTCGCTGCGTACACCCTGTTTATCGATACTTTTCCATAGGTTTAAATGGAATAACAATCGATATATCGCAAAGCAACCACGCCAATGATTTCTACATGAGCCCCAAAGAGCAGTGATTCATAGTTGTAACAGGGCTTACGTGGAAACGGATATACGCTCTTACGTCAGTATAGAGCGACGAACTATGGTAAAATTTGCTTTCAAAACAACGACTCAAATATTTCTGATAATTTTGCACTTTTTACGATACGTGTTCCACGATATAATTTATACAATTTTGGGTAGATGCTTGACTTACAATTAGCTCACTGACGTAGTTATGGATTTTAAGCCCCCCAACCCCACCATATTTATAGAGAATACGCAGGTGTCTGAAATTTGATGAATTTCGTGTTTAAGTGGAAACTATTGCGTGAACTGAACACGAGGATGCCCATGGTTCATGAACTGAACAATTATTGGAGAAGATATAACAAAATTATCTAATCTGCTAAAATACGTGTGTTTAAATGGGAAATGCCGCCAAATGACGTCACTAGGTGGTGCATCTTCTCACTTTTAAATACATTTTAATACTATATCCCATATCAGAAAAAGATTATAATAAATACTGTGAAATCAGCTGTTTAAGCACTTTCAGACGAAGCAATAAAAATATTTGCATGCAAATTCTCCATTACCACGGATGTGCATAATATTTTAGTAAGTCTGTGTAAAATAACATAAAAAACGTCAAATTACATGAACTTATTACCTATATTAATGTCATGACCATCATAACTTCCCAACAGTCTTAATTACTATCGTGAAGACGTTATCTTGGATCCCTCTCTCGCTCCATATTATGTCAAACAAAACTGATTTGTCCTTTTTGTAGGTACAACATTGTGTCAAGAGTTAGTATGGCTTCTAAAAAACAATTTGGATTTTAAAAAGTCTGCAGAAATCCACCTATTTAAAAGAGCGCCCTTTTTTGAGTAAGTATGTTGAACCTTAATGCATCAACGATGCTGCATACTTTGCTATGCTACAAAAAAAAACTGAGTTTTCCTCTTTGTAGGTACAACATTGTGTCAAGAGTTAGTATGGCTCCTAAAAAACAATCTGGATTTTAAAAAGTCCGCAGAAATCCACCTAGATAGAAGAGCGCCATTTTTTGAGTAAGTATGTTGATTCTTAATTCATCAAGAATGCTGCATACTTGTAATGTTACATGCCAGTTATTTTATCAAAGTAGCAAGTACCGCCTTGCTTTGTGCAACGGGAAGACATGAAACCAGTGTTCTGCCTTCCCCAGGCGCCATGCGCCAAATGCGCCTAAATATCAGGCCTTGGCGCCTAAAAAAATTTGGAAGGAGGGGAGGGGGTTGGGCCGTCGTGGCGCCTAAAATATTTGACAGATTGAACTCGCAATCGGGAAGCAGCGGTAGCGATGAAGCGCTCTCTATACGCACCATTTGCAGCATCGCCATGGCCCGTATGCGGTTTAATTTGGCTCCTAAAAAATAGTAGGTGGCTCCTAAAAATTGGACTTTCCTGCCAAGTTGGTTCCTAAAATTTTAGAAGAAAGGCAGAACACTGCATGAAACCTACGAATGAATAAACAGTTAGGTATTCTAAAATTATGTCCATCAATGACTGTTCGAGAAATTAATAAAGTTTCTTTTCACGGTGAGGAACATCGTACATAATATTTGAACTATTTGACAGCGGCTAGGTTGATTTTAATATTTTCAAACCTCATTCAGTGCTTTGTTGCCTAAATTCTCTTTAGCACAGTGGTCTTGAACAAAAAAAAAATCAAACATAAATGTACCCAAAAACGGTTTGCAGGGGGTTAGTCTATGGTACGTGAGGCCTTAACATCTTGAAGAATCAAAATCTTGGCTGATCCTAATTTCGAGATAACGCAATTTTAAAATTTGCATAGCAAATGCAAGTTTTCTGCTGATTTTGATCCGCTTTTTTTATTTATTTGTCAATTGAATCGGTGTTGATCGGTTAACGTTTTTATTTTTCGTTCTATTTATGTCGCTCGAATACAAACCCTCTCGTCACACCCAGACTTCCTATCATACTCTTTTTTTTAACTGAGCAATTCGCCCTCCGCTGCATCTAGGGCAAGTGATGTTACGAATATGTTGTGCGTGCCGATTTCAGGTCATTACATACGCAACTCTTAGAAGGCGTTTTATGTGCGAAAGCAATCGCCTTCAAATGCGTATGCAGCAATTGTTGTTGCAAATATGTAGTGAGTACCAATTTTCAGTTCAATACATACTCAACTCTTTGAAGGAGTTTTATGTGCACAAGTAGTGCAATCTGCCGGAGAACGAATGAAGTAAGGATTGAGCAATTCATTCAATCTCACTTCTGCTGTTCTGTGTTATTTACGTTTCAAAAAAAAGGAAAATCAATTTTCACGTAAAAAAAGAATAAAAAATCAGCTTAATAGTTGATGTGGCTTTGTTCCACTCTGCTTAACGCGGTCCATTAAATGCTTCCGATGTCAAAGCACGGAGGACGATAATCGCTCCTCTATAATTTTTTTTTAGCGGTTGTGTAGTTTTCTCAAAACTGATGGTTTACATTTTTCCGAGCGAGTTTTTTCATCTCAGCGGTGTTCATCCTCTTGAGGGAACTTAAAAACGCACCTACATAGAAAGCATCATCAGAATTTCTAAACTACAGACAAATAAGAGCTTTCCGTTTTTTTTTTTGTTTTTTTTTTTTAAAAATAATATGCCTATTTTATTTTTAATATTATCCAGGTTTAACATCATCTGTGGTCAGAAATTTGTTCAGGACGTATTAGACCTAAATAACCATGATCCTGCCGCCATTAAGCACCTGAACTATCTCGTGACTCCCAGATACAAAACTTGGGATGGCCTGATTTCTCCGCGAATCATCAAGACGCATTTGCCTTTCTGCCTTCTATCACCATCCCTGCTAAGTGCAAGCAAAGTTGTCTACGTAGCACGGAACCCGAAAGATGTTCTCATATCGTATTATCATTTGTGCAAACTTCTCAAGTACGATCATTTCAACTACCGTGGTGACCTCAAAACATTCTGGCAATTCTTCAAAGAAGATCTAGGTTTGTAATCGTAAGGCTTATTATTGAAATTGATAGACACAGCTGTAGACATACCCACAGCAAAGAGGAAAAGTGGAAGAGTCATACTGCCGTGATAGCGAAGAGAGCAGTAAGTGCATAAATGAAGTTTTGAGAAAACGGACTCAGAAGCTTCTGACCGGAATATGTTATTGAAAGAACCATCCGTTCTTTATGAAACCGCCACTAATCACCCAAAATAATCCTAGAAATCGAATTATAAGAACCATCCGTCTCAACCAAAAGGATACCTCCACAATCAATATGGTCTCCTTATCAATAGCTATGTCTATTCATTTCAATAATCAACCCACTAGGGAACATCAAATAATCTCACTGTAAGGCCGACAAGATACCCTAAAGTTGGTCCATCATCTTCCTCCCTAGTATATACGAACCACCTTTTTCAACAAATGATCGCTACAAAATCATTACGTTTTCTCTACACGTCACTCAGTCTATCAATGTCAATAGTCAGACCGATGGGCAGCATTAAATGTCATAATAGGATGAGGTAAACTAATTTTATTTATTCCATAGGTGCCACGTGGGCGGCCCCCGGCATTGGCTTCTTAGGGAACAGGGGGCTGGACCCAAAGTTAGGCTCCTTAGTTCCCAGGGGGCTGGCCCCCGGCTTTGGGTTCTTATGGGCAAGAGGGCTGGCCCCCGGGTTAGGCTCCATAGTTGCTGGGGGCTGGCCCCCCAAGAGGCTAAACCCGGGGGC